GACAACAGTAGAACAAAAATAAAGCTGGACAAAAAAATACTTTGGTTCCTCAAAAACAGTTTTTGTTTTTTTTTTTTCAAATAAATCCTGGAGCAGTTTTTGAATCTGTTTACTTTTTCTTTACAAGGTGGGACATCTAACTGAGCATGTACAGTGTGAGTGTCATCACTCTGTTTCTGTTTGGAGAAAAATGACGTGTTGCAACCGTCCCTTGTTGCTACTGTCCCCAGTCTCCCCTATGTGGTCAGGGCTGGGCAGTAGAAATTACATTATGTCAATGTAAGTCCTCACAAGGATAGCAATATCCTTGTGAGGAMTTATTATTTGAGTCTGGAAATATTCCTGTAAGCACAGATGAACTCAGATGTTTGGCCGAACATCTTTATTTATTAAATAGTTGACACTAAGAAACGAGTCGCAGTGCCTCAGCATGGATGAGGCTGGCTCAGCTCGGCTCGGCTCAGAGTGGACTGGCACAGTCCCAATCAGTCTGCCAGCTGTGGARCTCCAGTTTCAGCAATAAGACTAAATCTGTTCTTGAAGGTATTTTTGGCACAACTTTACTCTGGCTTTTTACATCCACTCATCTGACTGCATCCATGTGGATGTGATTGTTAATTACCTGTTTGCTGTTTTCACATCATTAACTGTTTCCCAAAACCACCTCTAAGTGTTGCCAGTGGGACCAGAGACGTGTGTATCCAGCCATACAGTTGATGTGGGCCTGAGCACATTTCCACGATCATTTCAGTCTTGATACATCAGAAACTTTGTGTGATACAAACTGTTGATACATGAGGCCCCATGTGATCCAGACCTGAGAGGAACTGTGTTATGAGGAAGTCAGGTGTGATGGAGATGGTTGAGAAGGTGGTGCAGGACATGGAGAAGGACACATAGGTTCAAAGTGGAGGTGGTTTGTACATGTTTATTAAAGGGACAGTGGACATACAAAGCAAAGGATAGAAGAGGAGGAGGAGGAGGAGCAGAGGAGGATATGGTGAGAGGCGGCACGGTGGCTCAGTTAGTAGAGCTGATGCCTCTCAGCAAGAAGGTCACCGGTTCAAATCCCGGTCTGGTGACCTTTCTGGGTAGAGTTTGCATGTTCTCTCCGTGCATGTGTGGGTTTTCTCCGGGTACTCCGGCTTCCTCCCACAGACCAAAAACATGACTGTTAGGTTAATTGATAACTCTAAATTGTCCCTAGGTGTGAGTGAGAGAGTGAATGGTTGTTTGTCTCATTTGTCTCTATGTGAGGCCCTGTGATGGACTTGCGACCTGTCCAGGGTGTACCCCGCCCCTCGCACTGTGACTGCTGGATATGGGCACCAGTGACCCACGCGACCCTGGAAAGGAAGAAGCGTGTACAGAAAATGGATGGATGGATGGATATGGTGAGATGAAATCAGATGATGCAGATATCCAGGAAGCACATTGATTTAAATGTCTGATAACGAACACAATGAAACCAGATTTAAACATCCCACTCTTATAAAACACCATAAATAATAAAAAATCCATGGAGACAGAAATATTTAAAAACTACTGATTTCTTTATTATCTTTGCTGAATTAATTTCTGTTCAGATTTCGCTCACAGACTTGACTTCAGAYCCACGCTGGTGTTTTCTGAATGTGCAGAGCAGACACTGATGTGATGTTTTCACTCATCAGGTTCTGGACCTCAGAACAACCTGGATACAGAACCTCCTGTGCTCTGACCAACCCTCATGTGGATCCTTTAACCAACTGGGAAAAAAAGAGCTGCGACATGAGGAACCGCTGGATCTGTGAGGGCCGAGCTTTAATCCGACCAGATTAAGGCTCAGGATTATTTCAGCTGTTTTATTCACTTACTGAGGCTGTTTCTCTGGCAAAACTGATCAAAGTCTTCAAATATGTCACATGCTTTAATAACTTTATTGTTTTTCATACATAATTTACCATCTTGGTTCTCAGAGTTAAAGACAAAACTCGTGACAGGAGTGAGTTGTATTTTTGACAGATGTTTGTTGTTTGTTAAATAATAAAATAATGTAGCAAAGTGTGGATTTTATAAACCTAATATTGTCAAGCAATAACAAAAAAGCAGAATAAAGTTAGTTTATACAGCTCAAACTCTGACGAAGTTGGGATGTTGTGTAAAATAAATACAAAACAAAGTGCAATGATTTACAAGGACAGCAAGGGCGGAGTGGGTAATCGGGACGAATCCCGCTGGGCTGGACCATTAATGGGCCGGTCCGATGGGCGCAGTTAGTACGGGGATGATAGGACGAAAAAAAATCTCCGATCAAAACTGATGATGAACTTCTGTTCGTTCACTGACGCTCCACAGAGCTGCAGCAGCAAAGACAGCCCGCTCCTCCCTCCCTTTTTCACACAGAGCTGCAGCAGCAAAGACAGCCCGCTCCTCCCTCCCTTTTTCACACAGAGCTGCAGCAGCAAAGACAGCCCGCTCCTCCCTCCATTTTTCACACAGAGCTGGAGGAGCAGACAGCCCATTCCTCCCTCCCTTTTTCACACAGAGCTGGAGGAGCAGACAGCCCACTCCTCCCTCCCTTTTTCACACAGAGCTGAAGGAGCAAAGAC